ATAAAACTGATAAAATCTCCTTTTATATAGAATATCCTTCAACTCAACATAAGAAGCAAAAGTATAATATAAAAATTTTCCCAAAAAAAAAAAATTATTAAAAAAAAAAATTTAATTGAACGATTGTAATTTTATAACTTTGAAACTTTTTTAATAAACTTTTATTTACTCTATTCTATGCATTGCAAATTATTATACAAAGGTTAAATTGCTTTTTTCGAAAAAAAAAAATTCATTAAAACTAAAAGTACATTCAAAGTACACTCTCTTTTTGAAGGATTATTTTATATATTTAGACAAAAGAATGTTAAAGAATAAGAGTGAATTAAAAAATTTTATTGAATAAAATTTTTCGTAAACTCGATCGAAATTGTTTTTGAACTATTGAAATGAAATAACCTTAATAAATTTGGAAAAAAATTATTTAAGAAGATTCAATTGAACCGAATTGTATAATTGAAACCTTGAACAGAATTCGGCATTTTAAAAAATTTCATTTAGTTTTGGAAACTTATGCAAATAAAAGACTTCATTTAATAATAATAATGAAGAGCATTAATTAACTTGAAATTTGTAGTAGGGTTGATTTCATACCAATGAGATGGAACTATCTTAATGCAAAGTTACTAAATTTTCATTATTTCTAAGCTTCATATTTAGAGAATTTCTTAGTTCAAAACTATTTCTTCTTACAAACGCATATTCTTATTCCACTTTGATCCTTTAATTTTAAGAAAATTCCACAACGGTTGAGATGGGTGAGTTTTATTATTTTTATTCAATTGTATTTTTAATGATTAAAAATATCAAGAACAGAAGATTTCCACATAAGAAAAAGATCATCTTTCAATTATGTATAGGATAAAGATTTTTTGTAATTTATTCTTGGAAGCAATGAAAATTTTAAACATTCTTTTGTCATGATAACATTACATAATACTACGTATAAAGTACGAGTATAAATGCGACTAATATAATTTTTCGCACCATCCGTTCTAGTAAATCGTAAATCGAAAAATAACATTTCGTAGCTTTTGAAGATTATTTCTGGAAATTATTTTTGCATTCTGAGTTTTTAATATGAGCTTATAATTTGACTTAAATGAAAATAAAATGAGCCTATTTTTAGCACTTTTCCAAAAAAATTTTGAAAAAAAGTGCTTATTAGTTTCACTCTGTCCGTCCGTCCGTCCGTCCGACCGTCCGTCCGTCCGTCCGTCCGTCCGTCCGTCCGTCCGTCCGTCCGTCCGTGTGTCTGTTTACAAAACTTCTACACCCTTGAAGATAGAAAGCTGAAATTTTGTACGTACATAGATTTTTACTAGAAACTTATTTTTGTAGAACAAAATTTTTACCAATCTCCCCCCCTTTAGAAGTTATACCCCCCCAAAGCCACAAAAATGGCCTATTTTAACTATTTGTTGCAATGAAACCATAAGCATTTTTGAAATTTTGCAAACGCAGAAAGGCAGTGGCTTACTTCCCCTAGCGCGGTATGCTATAGTCAAAATTTAGAAAAACAAAATGGCCGTTCAAATTTACCGTTATCTAAAGTCCTTTTTTTCCAAATTTTTGATGTCATTTTTCTTCTAGACCCCAGCCTGTAGAAGCTTGAAATTTTAGTGGCTTATAGACATTAACAAATAGTTTATTTCGTTAGAAGAAAATTTTTTTCCATCTCCACCCCCTCTCAAGTTATCGCCTCTTGAAATTTGTAAAATTTGAATTTTTGGCGCCTTATATTTCCGAAACCGCAAACGTTTCCAAATTTCTATAAACACGAAAAGCTAACGGTAAATTCCATAACATTAAAAAATATAATTATTTTTCTTAACTCACACAATTAATCCTTAAAATCGAGCATTATGTTAACCCCACTTTATATTAATTTTTGCTTTATTTCAAAGACTGCATGTATGCATCATCCTAAATATATGCAATCCTAGAAATAGTTTTGTATATGAATGAAAATAATTTTAATAGTGTGATAGGTATACATACTCGTAGACTGTTACAGAATTTTCACTTGTTGAAGGGAAAAGTGCTACAATACAAACCATTGGTTTGACCCAACTTTATTGAAATTAGAATCAATTGTAAAATTTAGGAAAATGCTGCAAGCAATTTTTATAAATTCTAAGAACATGTAGAACAATAACACAATCACAAGGGAAACCATATATAAAAATTATTTTTCCATATCAGTGAAATGGTAATTTGGGTTATACTGGACATTTCGCACAAGGTGACAAATAATTTCAGGGCTGATTCTTTGATTAATGTCCAGCAAAAAGTTAAGGGTCGAGAACGGAGGGAGGGGGGTGGGGGTGGAAATGGTGGGTATATGAAAGGGAGGGCGGTGCCTCAGGCTGACAAAAACATCTGGTACGGTTTTTCAAACAGACTCTAGCTCGAAAACGAGTGTCAATTAACCAGTACCCTCCCCCCCTTCCTACGCCAACACCATTCAATTTTTAACTGGAAATTGATGAAAGAATAATCCGTGAAATTATTTGCTACCTTATGCGCAACACCCTGTATATAATAATATAGAATGTGAGGTTGAATTTTTTTATTACTATATGTGGTCGATAATATGCGTAAAAAAATAATAATTGAAAATAATTCACTGGAAATAAAAAGATTTTCTATTTGAATAATTTTTAATTTATATTTTAGGGAGTTTTCTATTTATTTTTTCTTTGTACAATTCTCAATTTCTTTATTTTTCGAAATCATGCATGTGTGTACTTATATGTATATGATAAAGGACTTCTAAGGTTTTAGGATAAATTAATTTTTTTTGGTTTATTTTTGACCATCTTATTGAATTTGATTCTATTGGAAGAGACGAAATATTTTGAGATTTTAAGATGTTTTCAAATTTTTGTGATAATATCAAATCCATATAATGTGGATTGTGAATAATAACCAAGTTACTGGAAAGCAAAAGAAAAAGATCAAAAGTATTTTAATAATTATTTGATCAAGGTTCTGACATAGGATTTGTTTATATAACATTACATTATTATCATATGATTCCATTGAATAAAGGTTACCAAGAATAAAATTTTCGAAATTTCTTAAAAATTCAATTATTTATTAAAATGAATTCAATCTTTTGAATAAATTTAATCCTTTTTCTTAAAATTTCATCGTGTTTGTGTTTATTGTAAATTTGAAAAGGTTTTTTAGAAATTTTTTCTTAAAACTTATGAATTTTAAATTTTATTCGATTTTTCATATAGAATTTTAATATGATGGTGTTTGGTGAAAATTAATTATAAAAAATAATCAAAGAGAATCATTGCCAAATGGCACAAATTAATGAAAGATTTTAAAAGAAAAGCAAAGTACCTTAATTTTATTCTGTATAACAGTTAGTTTCATTTGTTTTTATATGATGTATGTGTACACTACAATATTTACTTTTGGATCATCATTAAAACTAATAAATGAAACTTACCCTCTTACTGCTTTAAGATCTATCACTTTTACCTTTTCAGATAATATCCAATTCCAATGTCAGCAAAAATAGGTACTCCATATTTTATCAAATTTTGAAGTTAAATTAAAAATACCAAAGCCAACGAATAACATTGACCATCTAAAAACTTTCCAAATAGGGAAATAAATATTGTTATACCATTCAATTTTCAAATTGAATTACATCATATTGCCGCCATTGTGTTCAAAGTGGCGTTATAAAAATATACATTTTAATAAATTATTACCCGTATGAGTGCATGTGTGTCCTTTAAACTCTAATTTATATCAATTTAAATTTTAGTTAGCACTTTGTTACGATATAATTAAAAGAACGTAGATAAAAATCACGTTATAAATTGTTACAAACGTTTAACAATGAGAGATAAAATGAGATTTTTTTAGTACAGATTGCAGTTTAAGATTATGTAGTTACATTATGACATGCATATAATTCAAAATTTATAATATTTCACGCTAAAATCATGTTATACTTTATTTGCTTGTGCTTTTTATATATTTTAACGAACTAAGCTGAAAAGGTATTGTCATGTTAATATTGCGTTTATAACACTAAAATAAGAAGATCTATGATAAGGGGTCGATTATCTATTACGTTGGTTCATATTCGTATGATTTTTTGGGCTTATAGATCAAAGTAACATGACGAGTCGTTCAATAATTTTTCATATAGAATATATTCTTTTCAAATATATACCCCGTAAAGTTGAAAACGCGTTATCACCTTGGCAGTACTGATGGCAGCATGTTTTTTTTGCCAGAAATGCAAAAGATCTTATGTCAAATAACCTTAGTTAAAAGACAACTCATTATATAAAGAATAGAGAGGAATTATTGAGACTTCATCAGAGATTTGATGAGTTGAGATTTTTTATCAGTTCTATTGCAGTACAGTTTTAACTAATAAGGTCTCGCGCAGTCAGAACTGTAAATACGAATTCATCCAATTTTAAATCGACGAGTGCATAATGCCATTCAAAAAAAATGTATATTTATTCTATAATCAGTTTTTGCGCCATTTTGCCACACCAACTTTCCCTTTATTGGGCATTTATTTTCCCGTCGTTTCGCTTTTCGCGGATTACAGCTTTTCCAAAGTAACAACTCAGATAACTGAGATGGTATTCACAAGATAGTTTTATTAAGTCTCATAAAATATACATTATATAATTCCGTTGGAACTTTATTCGTCTTCCGTCATCTTCTGCACCTTATCGTAATAATCTTGTATAGTTCATAAATTGAGTTCTTATGATAGCCCTGAAACAACTCACAAAATCATTCATTCGTATAAGTATCACACAATTTATACATGATCAATCCTCATTTTTCAAATGCCATTGGTATTTTTAAATTGAGGAAATGATAAGAAAATTCATGTTCTACTATTTTTTTTACTGAAATGAAAACTTATTCCTAATTATTTTGGAAAAGAAAATTGCTATAAATATTCACAAATTAATAATTAAAATTTCAGTTAAGTAAAAACATTTCTAATATTTAGTTAGCTTAAAACAGAACCATGAAAGTGCTTTCAAATAATTTTGCTAAGTTTTTAATTTTAATAACGTTTCTGCAATCATTTTTAAGTTCGGAATGTGTAATGCCAATAAAAAAGGTAAAAATTCTACAAAATTATTTTAAGAGAAAATCTTTGCTATTCAAACTTTATAAAAAATTTTTATATTGATATTTCTAGGACTGGGATTATAGATTTATATCAACTGAATTAATTAATGATACGCCAGATGCTACTCAAGCATTTGTTGAATTATCACGAATTTCAAGAGGAAAATATGGACTTTCTGGAAATGTAACATTATTCACAGGAACTTTTGGTGAAAATGGATTTGTAAGTACATTAAAATTGCACATCTGAGAAATTAAGTCGAAAGTAAGTAACTATCAGTACTGGCATAAATTCAAAGATCCTATAATTTGGATTTTCTCGGAAATTTACGTACGACAAAAATTTAAAAAAAAGAATAGATAATTTAGAAAAATTTTGAGTAGTTCAGTGTACTCGGCAAAGTTCAATTTCAATCCATTGTGTATGCAATATTTTTGTTAATAAACTTTAATTTTTTTTTTGTACAATTCCAACAGATTGAAATGTCTATGTATAGAAGTGTAAGAAATGATGGTGATTTTCTAAAATTACCATATGAAATTCAAAAGGAATCATTTTTTAAATTTATGAATGATCACTATAAAACCATATTGATGGATTCATTGAAAGATTGTTCAAATATGCCAATTGTTGAAGGAGTATATGCAACTGATTGGAAAGCAGGAGAATCACTTACATTTACAAATTGTGTTTTTCAAGATAACAAAGATACACCAGCACATTTTCAACCGGGATTTTATAAAATAATTGGTCGTGTTTTTCGTCCAGATGATATTCAAATGACTTTAACAGTTGTAGCAGAAGTTTTTACTGTACACTGATTTCGAATATTTTTTTTTTTGAAATATAGAATTTTAAATTAAAAATAAATAATAAGAGCAAAAAATTATTTTGTAAACAATTTTAAATTGTTATTAAATTATTTCGGAATTTTTTTTTTCACTATCAGATCAGATCTAGAGAATTTTCTTAAACTGAATAAATTTATGGTAAATAAAATGATTTCAATTTATTCAATAGAATCATGTAAAACACTACACCGCTTGCAAAACTCAAATTTTCATTCCGGAACCGTAGTTTAGCTGCGTAACTTTCTCAAACTACGAGAAAAATACACAGTTAAAGCTCATATAACATTTGACTAAAAAAAAATTAAAATTATTGTTAATTTTTATAATTTTATTTTTTTTTTGTCCAAATTAAGCCCACCGGGATTTTTTAATTTTAAAATTTCCAAATAAATTCACAACAGTTCAACTTCTTATACAATAAAAATTAACAAATTAATTTAAAATTAATTTTCTAATTTTTGTGTTTTATTTTTATTTTTAACCTAATCAAATTAATAAATTTTTTTTTACCAACCGCATTCCGTTTGTAATATAAGGGTGGATATGTGATAGCACCAAATTCACATAACGACTTTTCAAAAGAAATGTATTTTATCATGGTAGGGGAACGTATTTATAGAGTATTTTGAGGGAGACGTCTGTCGTGGTTTACCTGTCTGCCTGTCGCTTTGTCCGCCAATCTGTCTATGCATATCAGTATTTTAAGATCGACTGGACCTATTTTCACGAAAATTTGCATCTGTGTTTTGCCGAGGTTGGAACATATTGATCAAATTTTTAGATATGTAAGGTCTTTGGAAATAAATCCTTACTGCCGGCCGATTTCAATGAATCCTTACTGACGGCCGATTTTTGACTATATCTAAGAAAATATAATCAGCGTATTTTCCTAAAATTTTATATGAAAGCTAACTCTGATATTACGAGAAGCCAAATTTTGGAATCAATCAGAGACAGGAGTTGAATTTAAATTTTTTAGCAAATAAATTTAATATTTGAGTTCTGTATCCTACCGGAAGTAACTGGCGGATTTTTCATGCATTTCGCATGGCGTTCAATAACTAACTCTAACATACTAAGAGTCAAATTCCCATTTTTCTAGGTATGTTAACTAAAACCTTACCAACAACCTGAAAATTGTAAAGAAGCGTTTAAAAGGCATTTTCGTAGTCTTCTGTAACAATTTCGCTAAACCATAACACACATTGCGGTCGGATATGTGCTGACCATACCAGATTTTTTTATTATGGATTTTTAATTTTTTTATTATTTAAATTTTTGCTCTTTTATTTGATATTAAATGCCAATTAGTAGTTTTGAAACAAAAAATCTTCAATGTAGAACAATAAAAAAATTTCTCCTTTTAAAAAAGAGCTTTAATTATTTTTAATTTATATATGGGCTCCTCGCATCGACAAAACAACTAAAACAGACCAAAAATCTAATAAAAATATTTACAATACAATATGTTAGACATGGTAATAAAATGAAATCAGAGTTTTAATATTATGGGGATGTCATAAAAAAAAACGATCTGTGATTTATTTTTATGATCACTGAAACTTTTCCATTTTTTTTTAAACAAATTTATGAATCACTTGGCGTATTTTGTTTAGCGCCATAATATTATTTAGTAGATTTTTAAATGTGATACTTTGGAATTATTTCGGGAAAAATCTAGAATTTATTCTAAACATTTTCATTTTTTTAAGAATAAAAGTATCGAATAGCAAATATGCTATCCAGCTATGCGATAATCGCATTTTAAAATACACATACACAATACATACATGCATCCAAATGCATTTTATAATTTTTAAATCTGTTATACGAGAAAAACTTAAATTAATCAAAATTTTTAATATTATAGCAAAGCTAATGGGTATTCTTTATTTTTAAAGGAATAAAATGTTTTAAATTTAAATATGATGTCGCCTGTACGGCAAGAGAAAGCATAATAATTCAATTTTATATGTTTGCATTTATGTGAAATAGTAATAATAAAATTTAGGATGCATTTTTATTTCCATTCAACTCTATGTATAAATAGGTACATACATTGTTTTCATTTTCTTCTACGTACATAATACGAAAAAATTTTTATAATCTTCTCAATTTCAAATTTATAATAAAAAAAAAATTTTTTAAAGAAATAAAATATCGAAGCATTTCTAAAATAAAAGTGTTCCGGACAACTTAAAGGCCCTCAATATTTTGAAATCAATAAAATCGGATTAGTTTGATTAATTAGTGTGAAAAAATTTTATTAGGATCATATGCCACTTCAGTTTTTTCTTTTTACATTTAGGGACCGAGATCCTTGGTAAGGTGTTCACGTACCTATAAGATAATTTATGGTTCCCATTCCCACTTATATAAGCAAATTACCATGTTGTTTCAGTTTGCAATAGTCTTGTTCTGTTTGAAAATTTCAAATTTATACCTTAACTTACTTTATAACACTGATAGGCAAATAATGTTTTATAACTTGCAACTTAGGAAATGATTCGGTATAATGTGTAAGGGAAAGAAAATTTAATGATTTCATAAAATATTGAGTCTTTCATAATTCACGGAAAATATAATTTATCTTTAAAACAACTAAATAATATGCAGATTTCGACCCATGTTGTTATAATGGTCTTTGATTTTGTAATTTAAATCATTATTATTCTAAAACTCCTTCACAATTCTTTCACAAATTGGAAGAATACTAGACTTTTCATGTACAAACTGTAATTAATTGAAAACTGCTCTGTTAAACTAAAAATCAATATTATTGAACTTAAAAGCTCGATTTGCAAACGCATATTCAAAATTACAACATTTGCCAGAATAACAATAATTATTTGAACTGACCCCTTAGAGAATTTTGTAGTGATTCGAGAATACAGATTCTATCTAGTATTACAAATGAAACTTCAAATGATCTATTTCTTTCCCTCATAATTAAAATGAACCAAAAACTTAAAATTAGCTTAAAAAATAATATTTTATTTAAGAAACTACTTTTTCTTTTATATTAACTAAAAATGCTCTTAATAAAATATAGAAACAAGGAAGAAGACAAGACACAAACCTTTATAAAAATTCAAATTTTATAATTAACGCATCTATATAAATCATCAAACCAAAGAGCAGATCAAATGTCATTTTATTAAAGTATCATGGAGGTATTATGTAAGAATCATTGTAAAACAAATGACCAACATAAATTTTAAATTTTTTTTTTAATATGTTTTGCGCTATTACAATAGAAATAAAATATTATATATAAGATGATCTTCTATATTAGATATAGAAAAGAATGTCACAGGAATTTATAAAAATTTTATAGCCATTATCGTATATAGAGACTGAAACCAATAAAAATATTTTAGAAAAAGACTTGTACAATATTTTGTTTTTCTTTTGTTAATTACACATGACATCAAAATTATGCGTATAATAGATATATATACATTGTGTGTGATCACTTACAAGATCATAAATCTTCTGGATGACAAATTTACATTATTTGCTTTATATTTACACAGCTTACACAACTAAAAAAAAAACCTATCAATTGAAATTTTATTACCAAAATACTATGTTTGTATTTTTGGAATACTATGTTTTAAGTTCTATAATAAGTTTTTTTTTTAAATCGAAACGGAATTTTTTATTTGACTAATCAATTTTATTACAAAAATTTTTAATTTATTATAACAATCTTGCAGAATACATTTTTTGAACTATTGAATCATTAGGAAAATTAATATTCTGCTAAGGTTATTGACCAGGAGAGTTAAAATTAAATGATTTCTAAATGTTTATTGGAAATTAGCTACCATCTTGCTTACTCTGAGTTTAATATTGAAACAACATAAGTCTATATGGTATTGGAAAGTGAGCAATACTATTTAACGAAAGAAAATGCTTAGTGCTATAGGGTTGCCACTCATGAAAAAATTTATAATCCAAATTTTCACAAGAAAAGTACCAAATTCAAGCTAAAAGGGCCAAAATTGATAATATGGTTAAATTTGGAAGTAAAACACTTATTTATATTTTAATTTCAAATTAAGTTCGAATTTTAGCTTTTTTTTTTCATATTTAATATTAAGTTACGCTTGTCTATTGCAATGACCGGGATATGTATAAAATATGAAGCGAAATCTTCATACATAATATACAACAGAGATGAAAACCTAAGGCTGACGTGAAAACTTCTTCAACATTTTCGATATTTTACAAGTAAAACCATAAAAATAATATGGAAATAGCCAATCGTATTATCAAATCCTCAACAATAATAAAATTATACAGAATTTTATAACTTAATTTTAAGGTCTTGTAATATTTTGTAATTTAATTTTATATAAAAAAATTTTAGAAAGAAAAAATTAAAGTTTTCTTCAAGATTTTGAAAATATAAATATGGCTAGTTAAGAAAAATATGGGTCGTGGGTCCAAAATAATTTTAAACAAGAAAAATGGGCCATATTTGACCATTTGAACAAAAGCTTCAACACTAAGTGCAACATTTCGCATACAATCAAAAATGCGGATTCTACCCATAATACACAATATATTGAACAAAAATTCGGAACGATCAAGACTTTCTCGCCAACTTGTATGTTGCATATCATTCAGTTCCATATTGCTATTCAACTCAGACATCATTATATTAATTACTAGATTCAAATGTAAAAACATGTAATATAACATTATTACTGAATTATATTTGAGAGCTTCATTACTGTGTTAACGAACTCAAAAAATACCACACCTTAAACTTAATAAACCAGAGAAAACGAATTCCATATTCAATCTTTGAAGAAACATTTGAACAAAACAAAAAATATTTCATTCATTGAGGATTCATTTAATTAATTTCGCTAATTAATACTAATTAATTACTCCCCTTTATGTATGTGCTTTAATCAATAATATCAGTACATGTGATTCCAGCGAATTTTTGGAAAAATTCTCCTTGAATACAACCAATTTTTTAACATTTCCATGCTAAAGTATACTAGAGTATACGTACAACATTTAATTTAATT